CTTTGTTTAAGAGATTCCTTCTACAGGAAATCACTGACAGTAACAAAAGCATCTTGTAAATTCCTGAATGGAAAACACTCTGGGCAGGGAAGGCAAACTGGTAACCAGAATATGGACCTAATTATAAGGACACATGGAAACCTTTTCTAACATGAAAGGGATCTGTTGTAACTTACCTGCCTTTGGAGACCAGCTGAACGCCTGGAGTACTGTGTCATACCAGGGAATTGGTGTTGGCTTACTGCTTACTGGTTGCTCACTCATAAATTGGGCAGCTCAGTAAGTTTTGGGGGGTCAGTGTGACCTTCATGGCATACTTACCTGGAACCATTAAGCAAACACTGGGTGAAGCATCATGCATCCTTCTGACTGCTGAGAGACCCCTCAGCACCGATCCTTCCAGGGGTGTCTTCACGCTTTATATCCACACTGGCCCTGTCTATTCAACCTTTTCACCAAGATTCTGATTTTGTTCCTGGATGTTTTTTTTCCCTCACAAGCCCCCATGCTGTTATCCCCTGACCATGATCAGCAAAGATATAGACCTCAATAATTTTCCTTTTCTTGTCAAGTAAGTGATCAGATGTACATCTCAAAGTTCTGCCCTCAAGGGAGATTTACATCAACTAATGCTTTCCTGGGCTGCCCAAGCAAACACAGTACAGCCCCAGCTGTTACCAGGCCCAGGCATTTTCCTTTTGCCTTACCTGAAATAGGTATCTGTTAGACATCATGGATGGGTCAAGGAAGAGACAACAAAACATGAATGGGTACTGTGGGAGTCCACGCCTCCCATCTGCCCCTTCAGAACATGCTCGGCTCACCTGTGTAGACCAAGCCCATCCATCCCTTCAGAACATGCTCAGCTCACCTGTGTAGACCATCTTCACTTAGAGTGCACCATCGATTTTAAGACTTTTGCTGTATCCTGTGGGACATCAAGTGAATATTATTCATTAAAATATCAACTACTTATTTTCAAGACCCAATTGATGCCAGGCACTTAAGGCTGAAGTCATATGATGACCCATGTTTCAGTTACCAGGGCTAAGAAACAAACCAGGAGCTGCATTTCAGCTGGAAGAGGCTATGGTTTGTTGGAGGCTCATTGGCGGCATGGACTGGATGTTCTCGTCTGCAGATTCCTCTATAGAATAGGTGAGAACTGAGACGGGCTTTGGCGGATGAGCAATCAGACGGGCAAGTCATGGACCAACAAGATCAAGGAGATGCAGAGTGGAGGTAGGGGACTGAGCAGATCGGTGTGATGGGTTAGGAGGTGACTACCCTCGGCCTTCATCTCAGAGGAAGTGACTGATTACCTCTGGGGGGAGGAGTTGTCGTGTGTCTCTAAGGAAATACACTTGGCTTTCTTTTGGTTTCATGCTTAGTCCTTCACCATAGAATTTTATATACATTTTAAGTTAGAATTTTAGTTGGAACTATAATTAGTTACATAATGTATCATTTCTCATAGTAAGGTCATCATTTTTTTCTCTCACTCCTCCAATTTGCCACCTCTAGGAAAATTGTCTTTTTTAGACTGGGCATTCTCTCTGTACATCTAGGTTATTCTTTCTCTCTGCTGTTCCTTGAGTGCTTGGAGGCCCTGAAGTGAGAATTAGCTTTTGTTTGGCTATTTGATTTTCGTCATTCTAATTTTGAACCTGTTTGGATTCAAGTAACTTCCTAAGAAATGTTGCTATACCTCCTCAGTTCTTTGAGTGATATATTAATGCAGACATCTCCCATCTGCTAACATTTCTATTTTCCTTTGTACATCCGAAGGTATCTTGCCTAAGTTACATGATATATTCCATAGATAATGAGCCTTGTGTTTTTCTCAGTGCACGGTGTCTTTAAAACATGGGTGATTCAGTTGCTAAAATATTTACAGTTTAGTCAACATCAACAAACTTGAGGAATGGTCAGATGGTATCAACAGACCCAAATCTGAAACAGTGTGAAAATGAGACTATCTTACTCAGCGGAGCAGCATCCGCTGTGAGCCCTTGCATTCATGTTTAGAAACGAAAAGTTTTGTTCCCTGACAGGAGCAGGGCATGCTACCAAACAAAAGTGCCATCTGGGCCAGGATCCCAGAGAGAGGGGAAGGCAGAACAAATGGCAGATCAAGAGTTTGGATCAGGATGATGTGCCTTTGATTTCAAAGACTGTTCCGTGCCTGGATCTGTTTGTAGAAGGGGGAACATGATGATAGTGCCTTAGGGGTGCATAGAGGAACGCCGGGTCACCAGAGGAGAAGGCAAAGGTGATTGAGTTTCAGAAGGAAACTGACCACAACACTGGAACTAGAATCCCCAAATAAACACTCTGAGAAAATGCTAGAGGATGCTCAACCATGGAGTAGGAGTGGGTCTGAGCCCCTCGGTGCAGAGGGCTTGTTATAGTCTCCGCATAAGAGAGGGGAAGGACCAGTTATTTTTCTGTTCACCTCCATCTTAAGCTTACACTCCATGGAACTAACTGCATGGCTGCAAACTGCAAAGCTCTCCTAAGGCTGCCCAAACGTCATTCAGTCCCACAATATAACTGTAATGAGCATACTTTACATTAGAAACAAGATATTAGTCTAAGAGGAAGAGAGAGTTCTCAGGAACGTGAGTCAGGGGCTCTGTTTTCAAAACGAAATGGAGAGATGGTTAAGCATGCATCGTGTTCTTCAGGCAGCATCTAGGAATACTGAGTAAGCTTGAATTACCAACTTTAAAATAGATGCTGGGCAAGGGAGTATCTGGGCAGTTAGTCCAGCTCTTTTAGCATCTGATGAACTATCTAGCCTTGTAACCAATAGCTCACTTAGAGACTAGGAAAAGGAAGCAGAGGAAAATAATCTTCTGCCCTAATATCCTTGATAAGGAAAAACCAGGATTCATCATTGCTATCTACTGGCTGTGCTGTTACTTTAGTTTTACTAAGTAGAAAGGCTTTAATTTTTTGGTCACTGTATTGATGCTCTGTTTACCTAGGTTTGGAGCTCTGTAGATCAGTAGGCAACTGCAACCAAATCAAACAGTTTTATTTTAGGTGCCTACAAGCCTGCTCATAAGGTTTAGGATGCAAAGATAAGTTAAATAACAGAATGTATTCATGGCCCTATTTCAGTCAGGGTTTGAGTTGATGTCCTTGGTTGCTGTTACCACCAAAGGCCTGGAGTCTGGCCCACCTTATGAGGCCATGTTGGTATCTGAAGGCCCTGCCACTGCTGAGGCCATGCAGCTCTGGGTGGGCTACGCTGCCACCTGTTGCCATGATGATGTCTGGGCCTGAGTTGCTGCCAAGGGCCATGTCTGGGTCCAGGTCCCTAGAGCGGCCAGTTGCCACTGAAGTCCATGTGGCTGCCAGCAATCAGGCCAGCCATCTGAGTCCATGTTGGTATCGATGGCCATGCTGTCGCCGAGACCAGGTTGATCTGGGTGGCCTGTGCTTCCACCTAGGGTCATGGTGACAACCCAGACCCAAGCTGCAGCTGAGGGCCATGTCTGGGTCCATGGCCCTGCAGAAGCCAGGGTCTATGTTGATAGCCGTGGTTCCTGTTGCCTTCAGAGGACATTCATCAGACGCCTAGGGTCTGGGCTGCAACCCGTGGCCTTGTTGGTGTCTAAGAGCCTTGCTGCTGCGAGAGCCATGCCAATGTGCACGGTCTGTGCTGCCACCCAGGGCAATGGTATCGTACAGGCTCTAACTGCTGCTAGGGGCCATGTGTGGGTTCATGATCCTGGTACAGCTGGGGTCTGGGGCCCTTGCTACCTCAGGGGAGTGTAAAAGCCATACATGATGAAATCCGAGGGTCAGGCTGAGCCAGACCTGCCATTTGCTGGCCCTGGCCCTCGCTGTACACTGTAATAAGAGAGCTGGCCACAACCCTCACAGGAGAGCTGTTCCCTGCACTTGCAAGGGAGAGCTGGCCCCACCCCTTACCATGGGAAGAGAGAGCTGGCACCACCCCTTACCATGGGCAAGGGAGAGCTGGTCCCACCCCTTACCATGGGAAGAGAGAGCTGGTCCCACCCCTTACCATGGTCAAGGGAGAGCTGGCCCCGATGGCGTAGGTGTGAGACAGCTGGCTCTACACCATACTGGAGGTGGGTGGCCCCAGTGTTCAGGACTGAGCAGTTCAATACCACCCAGGCCCTCATCCAGGGTCTTGGGTTGGTCCTCCCTAACATCTACTCTATCTATGACCTACTGGACATGTGAAGGGACCGGTCCTGTGGAACGATACCAGTAGGATCTCCATGGCTCGGGTCCAGTGACGATGGTGCACCAGACACCAGAGGCCTTGAACAAGATCTAACTCATTGAAATGGACATTTGCAAGTAGAGTGGGTAAGACCAAAGGGTACACTGTGTGCCACACAGAGGCTCCCAGTGCCACTAAGACAAATGAAGAGGTGTTGGAGAGACAGGAAAGACAGAGCAGCAAAGTGTTTTGTTTATTTCTTAATTTTTTAAAAAATATTATTTTAGGGGGGTGTGGAATTGGGGTGTATGATGCAAAATTCCCAAATAATCAATAAAGAAATAATGTTAGAAAAACAATGGAATGTAAATTGTCAGTACTTTAGGCAAGGAAGAGCAAAGTAAACCTTGACATTATCTATAGCTTCCAGATGCTGAATACATTTCAGATTCTCGTGTGTGTGTGTGTGTGTGTGTGTGTGTGTGTGTGTGTGTGTGTGCACGCAGTGACTCAGAAGAATAGAATAGGTCTTGATACAAAGTCCAGGCTAGCTTTGAGCACCTGCAACTTGTACCTCTGCTTCCAGTTTATTGGGATCACAGAGTACACTACTATGCCCAACTCAGAATCTTAAAAGAAAACGTCTTTTTTCGACAACTTCAGGTACTTTTAAGCATTTTAGAAGTAAGAAGACAGAAATTATTCTTTTTAAGGATTATGGTTGTTGTTTGGCTTTTAAATATGTGTGCAAGTGTGTTTGAATGCATGGTTGCAACTCCACGACTGTTCTTCCTACAGCTCCCCATCACCTTCCACTCACTGGTAAGGGGCTCTCGTAGCTTCCAGCGCCTAGGCTGGTTTGGAAGAGGTCTGCAGGAAAAATGATTGGAGTGAAGGCAAATTCCCTTTTGGTCATAGCTAGTGCTGTGGCTACCCCACTGGCCTCTGGTTTCGTTCTTACCTTTTCCTATGCCACTCAGCAGCCAGAGTCACCTGGAAATCCTTAAGTTCAATCATTTTAGTTCTTCCCCTAAAATCTTCCCCACACTTCTTGTCCTACTGAGAATAAAGTGCAAACTGAACTTTTGCTTACAAATTGCACAACACCGAGATTGCACTTACCCAAGCTCACAAAGCTCTCCTTTTCCCTATTGTTTTTGGGCTTTTAGTTTTTAACTTTTATTAGATTTTATACTACCTGAAATGTGTCCATTTCACATCTGCCCTGGGACTTTGCTTTTGCTCTCCTGTTTAGAACAGTTTTCATTATGATTGAAATGACTAGCTTCCTTTCTTTACATTTTTGGTCCTAGGTTCATTGTAGACGATAATGGATTTATAAACATTTTTATAAAAGTATATCATGTGTTATGCCTATATTCCCCTTCCTTGTCCCCTGTTTTACTTTCCTGCTAGCTCCCCTTTCTTCTTCACACTTTTACTCTCATGCCATATAAATGATTTTATGGACTTATATAAAATCTAGCACCAATAACTGAGAGAAAATGCAGTATTTATCTGTCTGAGCCTGGTTATTTTGCTTAACACAATAATCTTTACTTGTACCATTTTTTTTTTTTGCTTTGATGGTGCTGGGGACTGAAGTTGTGGCCTTTTTGCATGGTAGATAAGTATTCTATCAGTGTGCTACATCTTTAACTCAAGAAAATTTATAGCTAAGAGATCATCAGTTGCTATCATTTGAATTACTACTCAATTGTTTAGAGCACAGGTTTGCATTTGCATTCATTCTGAATTTCCGAAATGTGAAGACTGGACCAGAGCGTCTTTGTCTTGCTTGCACCCGTGAGTGTTGCCTGTTATTTGTATTGAGCTAGTACTCAAACCTAGAAAATGGCCCTAATGCAATGAGTGAACAACAGTATTTATGGAATAAAAAACAAAATCCTTTATGTATCTTTTCCCTTGAAAAGAATTTTGTCTCTGGGACTTCTTTTTCTTGGATATTAATGTTGCTTCTCTTGCTTTATTTTTGCTAGCATTTGCTTGATATGTCTTTTATTTTTAGTCCCAAGATGTTATTTTTTTAACTTCCTTTGATTATCAACAACATTTGGTGAGATTAAAAAATAGGATAGAATAGAAATGGATAAACTGTTTTTTGTTATTTTTTCCAAAATGAGATTTAGATTTGTTTCCCTCATGCATAAGTGATTTTAATTCAGTTTTAACCAGAAAAGTCTTGTTTTTTTCTGAAAAAAGTGTCTTATCTGATATTTTATGTTTCATATAAGTGTATAAAGCAACAACTAAATGTTATTAGAAATTAGTATTTTAGTATTTGTAATTTTCAATTCCTATTATGTTACTTTGTGTGAGAAATTTTAGTCAAAGTGCTTGAAACATTAGCATTCTTTGAAACACTATCTAAAAGGTTCATAAATATTTGAAATATCATGTAAAGGTTGATCTCTCAAAAACAAAAACCCCATTAAAACAATAAAGTATTTTGTCTAAAAAAAAAAGTCTTTGTGAGGCCTGAGCCAGGAACCTCTGCCAGAGCATGGTCAATCCAGCCACCTTTGCTGGAGCAGGCCTGAGCAAGCAACCTCCATGGGAGCAGATCCAAATGATCTCTGGGATTGCAGGGTAACCTGTGGGATTGCAGAGCGAACTCTGGGTGTGCAGAGTGATCTCCAGAGTGACTGGAATGGTGGTCCCAACTCTGCCTCAAGGACTAACCTTCTGAGCCTTGGATTCACTGGTTCCTGGAAGACAATAAGAGGAAAACATGAGTAGACAAGGTAAGAACACACTCAACACCACAAAGAGCATCATGACACCAACAAAAACTAGTGGCCCTACAACAGCAAGACTTGAACCCCCAATACGAATGAAACAGAAGAAAATGACCTAAAGAATAACTTTAGGAGAATGTTTGAGGCCCTTAAAGAGGAACTGAAAAATTCTCTCAAAGAAATGGAGGAAAAAACAAGCAAAAGATTGGAAGAAATCATTAAATTCCTTAAAGAAAACCAAGAAAATGAAATCAAACAGGTGAAAGAAATGATTCAAGACTTGAAAACCAAAATAGAGACAATAAAGAAAACACAAACTGAGGGAATTCAAGAAACAGAAAATATGGGAAAATGATCAGGAATTACAAATGCAAGCATAAACAACAGAATACAAGAGATGGAAGAGAGAATCTCAAGCACTGAAGATACTATAGAGGAAATAGACTCATCAGTCAAAGAAAACATTGAATCTAGCAAAATCTTAACCCAAAATATTCAGGAAATATGGGACACCATGAAAAGACCAAACCTAAGAAAGATAGGGATAAAAGAAGGAGAAGTCCAACTCAAAATCACAGAGAATATATCCAACAAAACCATAGAAGAAAACTTTTCCAATCTAAAGAAAGATATCATATGAAGACACAAGAAGCTTACAAAACACCAAGTAGACTGGACCAAAAAAAAATTTCCCCTTGCCACATAATAATCAAAACACTAAACACACGGAATAAAGAAAGAATATTAAGAGTTGCAAAGAAAAAAGGCCAAGTAACATATAAAGGTAAACCTATCAGAATTACACCTGACTTTTCACTGTAAGCAATGAAGGCCAGAAGGTCCTGGCCAAGCGTTATGCAGACATTAAGAGACCAGAAAGGCCAGCCCAGACTACTTTTCTCTCTTTTTCTTTTTTTGGTTTTATCAAAACAGTGTTGTTTCTCTGTGAAGCAGTCTTGTCTCTCCTGGAACCCACTCTGCAGATCAAGCTGTCCTCAAACTCGCAGAGATCTGCCTGCCTCTGCTTCCTGAATGCTGGGATTAAAGTTGTGTGTCACCACCACTCAGCTAGTTTTTCTTTTTCTTTAATTAGATGGCTTTTGCTTGTTTTCATTCAGTTTGATCAGGGCGCGTTTTATTCTGAAGTCAGAGCAGAAAATGCTTTAAGCTTTTGTGTGTCGGAAATGTCTTTATTTCTTAACTACACTGTGAATGACTATGGGATTTAAAAATCATGGCCAAGACTGCTTTATTTAATTTAGAATCTATAATTACCCATGAAAGTATGAATGAGATTTGATTTTCATTTGTTTTTATTCCAAGATGCTGAACTTCATCTTGGTATTTTGAGGAATCTGTTTTCATCATACTGGACATGTGTTGAGTCCATTGTGATGGGTAATTTTTTTTTCCAGGATGTTTATACTCTACCGCCTCATTTTCTTTCTCCTCCTCCTTTCTGTGTACATGTGTCTCCTTTTGTAATCCCTACAGGGCAGACATAGGATCTTTAAAATCATTAAAATATTTTTGTATTTGTGACTTTTGAGCTGTGTCCCAGGAGAATCCTTCAGGTATGACATCCAAATAAGGAATTATCCCTCAGTCATCTTTGTTGTTGCTGTTGTTGTTGTTGTTAACCAACACACTTACTGCATTTTTTTCAGCGACCGAAGATCTGCTTGCAAGAGCTCCAGGTGTTTTTCTTAATAACTTGTTTTAATTAAAGGAACCATTATCCTTTCTTAGTCCTCTGAGGGTAACTATATGCATCAAGCGTGGTTTAAAATCTCATTTGTTCCATTCCATTTGATTCTTCCAATGACGGCATTGTGGTGTGAATGGGAAACGTTCTCCCCAGGCTCACGGTTTTGAACACTAGGTTTCCAAACCTAGTCTTTAGTGGACAGAGGCTTGTGGGATGACGGTGGATACTGGGGCTTGGTAGTTTGGCCACACTTCCAGTTTTCTGTGATTCCTGGCTGCAGCTGCAATGTGACCAGCTATCCTTTGCTTTAGCCACCGTTCATACCTTCCTTACGGATGGACCACATCCCCGTGATGTGTCAAAAGCAAACCCTTCCATCTTTGTCTTCTCAGGTTTTTCCCCACAGCAGCAGGAAACGCCAGTAGTACGGCTAGTTTGTGCATGTGGGGAGGGCACCACCTTTTCCCGGGCCTCGTTTTCAACTTACTTTTTGTTGAGTTTGGCTATGTGCTTGCCTGGAACCTGAGTTGTCTCTACTCCATCTGATTACCTGCTCTGGTTCCAGGCTTTCAGGCTGTGCTGTCGTCTTTTTGGAGAGAGAAGTTTTCCCTTCAGCTGGACACCAGCCAATGTTGTCTTAAGTTCTGAATTCAGGACACACAAGGGTTGTGCATTGTTCTGTCTTGGGGCACAAGCCTCTACTGGATCTGTTGTCATACCAGAAGCAGTGTGTGGGGGGGGGGTTGACAAAGGGTTCAGCGTTCTCCCACGCCGCTCCCTTGACCTGGCCGGTCTAGGTCTCTCTTGTTCTTCCGTTTTTACCTCCCAGCCTGGAGCCCAAAGCATTCTGTCCTCTTTATCAGTCCTCTCTTACATCTGAGTTGAGTCTTCTTTTTCCAAAATAGCATCACTTGCCTTTAAATTTTTTAAGCATATTTCTGTAATAGCTGGTCATTGAGGGCATCAAGCCTTAATTTCAACCGCTATTTCAAAAAATGTTTTTTTGTCTTATTATTTATGGGAATTTGAAATGGGTGATTTTAGCTTGCAGACCTGATTTCTCCTCCTAATTATCTGCTACAAAGCATATTCAAATAGTTTAAGGGAAGGACCTCGGTTCATCTGGAAAGATGTTTTTTCCAATCATTGATGCAAGTGGAAATTTTTTCTATGAATGGATGCTAATCCATAGCAACACCCAGGCTACTGCGTTGGGTTGTGCTTTGGAGAGATCCTTCAAGGCCTGCGTCATACAACTTGTGAGATGGGAAAATAGAAACTCAGAGGTTGTTTACTTTAGTCTAACAAATAGCAAGAGACAGCCAGGATCCATATCTCTGTCTTACCATGACAGCAGCTGCCTTTCGCTAAATGACATAAGGTAACAATAATGAGTAATGTCTTCACTGTGGGATATCGGCAAAATATAGTCAGCATTCCCAGCAAATAATGAAATCAGTAACTACTGATTAAGATGGATAAGTTGGCAACAAGTCATTGATCTGACTGGGGTTTTCAATCTCATTTTATTGCCTTGTCAATAGGGTTTATTTTAAGAGCAATTTGTGAAGTGTTCGTGCATTTTTCCGGTGGGCTGTATGCATAAATGGAGCGTACATATTGGTAAACATTTTACAGTGTTGGCAAGTTGCAGGTTCTGTTTTGAATTGATGTTCCTTATAGCTTGCAGTTGAGATTTATTTTGATATAAGCAGTAATTACCAAAATCAAGCGCTCTGAAGGTGAATGTTGCTGCTGATTAGAGAGAATCACAAACAGTACGTGGCATGCTGCTATTGTTTGTTAGAGTTATTTACAAAAATATTTCCCAGCAATTATGGTATGTGGGATTCAAGGTCAGCAAATGCCTAGAGTACAGATGGTTGAAGCTGTTGTAAAATCCATATTCTTTTGTGTAAGAAGCATTTTTTGGAAAATCTACCATAATAAACACTTGGGAAACTGAAAGAGGGATCCAGAAATACAAATATTTTGAATTTAGTTGAGAACTTTTAAACACATAAATTCCAAATATGTCAGAATGCATTGAGATCTTTTAAATAGCCGGACAGTGCGGAGTTCAGTGTACCACAGAAGCATCGTATCATGATGTGGATGTCCGAGATATATATTGGGGTAGCAACCTGATAAACCCATTGCAACCTTAAAAAGTCAAAATGCATTGGTCGTGCCAAAACTGCAAACACCATAGTTTTACTTAGCCTCCTTTAAATATACTTTGAACACTTACATTAGTCCACGGTTGAACAAAAGCATGTAACACAAAGTGTACTTCATAATAAAGTATTGAAGATCTTGTGTGATTTACTGAATGGTGTATCAAGGTGAAAAGCAGAACATAGCCCTTATTCTTTTAAACCAAAGTTACTATTAATTATAAAACAGAGCAGTTTGCTTTTTATTGTCATAGAAATAGCAAAAATCTGAAGTCAAACCATCATAAATCAGAGACATATACATTGTCCTTCACAGGCTGAACACCCTGCTTCTCCATCCCTTGTCATAGTGCAGGGTGCGGTACCACCTGCCTTGCAAGGTCTGAAGGTAACACCAAATGGTTGGATGTTCTCATCTGGTAAACCATTGTTTGTGTTAAGTGTCTGACAGGCAGGAAACCGGACTGCCTTTCTCAAACCCATTTGTAGTCGCCCTCAACTCAGGTCAGTGCCGGTGGCCAATGCCAGGCAGCAGAACAGAGGAACACAAGTTTGAAGACCCAACTCAGTGTGGCTGCTCTGGTCCAGGTGACATGAGAGTCATTCATGCAGAGGCCACTTTTGTTTACGTTGTTGTTTGTTGTTGCTGTTTACGTTTTACAGTACTTGGAATTGAGTCCACGGCTCCATGCATGCTAGCAAGGGGCTCTACTGTGCTGTGGAGCTGCCTCCCTACCTCATCCAGATGACTTTGGGGGCAAATTCCCAATTCTAAGTGGTAGCTCTGACTGCCAGGTACCTTGGGTTTATTCTCAGAATCCTTTCCTATAATAGACGTTTTCTTCCCGTGAAGAGGCTCTCTAATTTCAAACCCTTGTGCAACTAGGACACAAGTACGTGACTGGATGCTGTGTCTTAAATATTTCTATGCAAGTCTGCAGTTCAGTCTTGCAGACCATGAGGAAACGTGCTGGGAATAGAGCTTCCACATTGGAAGACTGTGCTGGCCATGTCCGCGTTTTCTTGAATGTGTGGTGGGTGAGGTGAGGCTTTCCTCATCTGGCCAGCTGTGTAGTTACAAACTGGGCTTTGCTTTTCAAGAGGAAGCTTTGTATCTGGTCTCTAGTCTTCCAAGAAAGTTACGAGCACCCCAGTATCTTTTCATGAAGACATGTTTCCAGTTAATTAGCTACTTTACTTCTGTTGTCTACAACTGAAAGAAATGAGAGCTCCCTCCCTCCGCCTTTGTTTTAGTGCTCAGGACCGAGGCCCAGAACTTATACTATATAGCTACACCCTGTTTTCACTGCCCACTCTTGGTAGATACATAATCTGCTATGGTTGAGCTCTTAGACTTGGCTCATCTGCAAAGAAAAACTTCTATTTCTTCTCTATTAATGTAAATTAATAGAGAATTTTGAGGCTGAATTAACCCAAATACCCAGTCACCAAATATTACCAGGTGTCTTCAACGTGCAAAAACTGCCCTAAGGACCCGAGGAATAGATAAAGATGATTCCTGTCTCCAGAGACTTGAAATAGGCAAGCATTAGCAAATGAACTGAATGTGCTGTGGCAGAGGGATGAACCAGATTTGACCTCTGAGTGTGATTATAATTGACAAGATGCTGGCAGGCATTCCTGGACAGCTGACAGGACTTGAGGCTGAGACAGCTATGGATAATTTATATTAAAATGACTTGACATATGAAAGGAATTTTCTTTGTCTTCCTTTCCTTTCTATTTTGAGACAGGATCTCACTATGTAACCCAGATGGAACCTCAAACTCATGATTCCACTACCTTGGCTATGCAAGTGCTGAGATTATTAGCATGCTCTGCCGTGCTCAGCTGCTCAGAACTTCCTTCAAAATAGGTAGGGAAATAAGGAAAGTCCAAGTAACTGGCTAACTCCTTGGCCTGAAGCTCACTATGCAGTTTGGCCTCATAGAGATCTGCCCACTTCTGCTTCCCAAGTATTGGGATTAAAGTTGGCCACCACCACTGCAACTGCTTTCTTGCTTTGCTTACCATGCATATACATGTATATATATGTATAGGTGTATATCATTTGATATGGAGATGTGGCCACAGTTAGAGCGTACTGATACTCATTTAATATTAATAATGATTTGTCTAAGGATAAAAGAGGTATAGAGAACAAAGTCAGGTTTCATAGTCTTTGTTGACTGCCTGCAGCCCATCAGAAAGTAGGCCACAAATTTTCTTAACATTGTTTCAATCCAAACTTCTCTTCCTCCCTGGCTGTGTATAGGACACTGAATTGCAAATGAAGAGGCAGAAATCAATTAGCATGAGCCCAATGACTGTCAAGGTTCATATTTTTAAATAAGCTTCTGTTTAAAGTATTTTTCCATTTATTTATTATGTGTGTATGTGCCATGGTATGTGTGTGGAGGTCAGAGGACGGCTTGTAGGAGTCAATCCTCTCTTCCTACCAAGTGGGTGGTGGAGCTCCTATTCAGATCATGAGAGCTGGTGATGGTTGCCTTTATCAGCTAAGCCATCTTGCTGTCCAAGGAATAGCTTTTAGGGATGGGGGGGGGATAATATCATACACTAATCTATCCTTGAACTTTCTATGCAGCTGAGGTTGACTTTGAACTTACGATCCTCTGTCTCTATCTCTCTAGTGCTAAGATTACAGGCCTGTGTCACCAAGGCATGAACGACTTAGACAAAATTCTTGAGAATTTGTGTTTTCATCCTGATACTATTTACCTCATTGGTTTCAGTTTTTTTTTTTTTTGGTGTTACCTCACTGTGGAAGTGGCTGAGATCTCCCGGGTCATTTTCTATCAGATGGATGCAAATAGAAGAGTATCTTCATCCTAAGAGTGAGAACAACATCCCCAGGTTGGAGCCTGAGCCTGTTAAGATGGTTTTGGCTACAAGTAACACAAATATTGGATTAAAGAGGCTTGTTTTTCCCATATAGCAGGACACCCAGAGGCAAGGACAGCTCTAGTGTTCATTAATTCAAGAGATTAAGGATGGTAGTGTGTGAATGAGAAATGTCTCCTGTAGATTCATGTACTGAACGCTTGGTTCCCATATGGTGTTCTCTGCAGCCTCGTGGGAGGAGGTACATCACTGCGGCTGGATTTTGAGCCTTTATATCTTTGCCCCACTTCATGCTTGCTCTCTC